GGAATCCGAGTCCCGCTGAATTCAGAGAACTTATTGCTAAGAGAGTGCACTATAAAAAATACAGATTACGTTGAGGGTATCGTTGTGTACGCGGGACACGAAACAAAGGCCATGCTGAACAACGGCGGGCCGCGGTACAAGTGCTCAAAGCTTGAGCGTAAGATGAACACCGACGTAATCTGGTGTGTACTCGTGCTGCTCTTCCTATGCTGCGCCGGCGCCGTCGGCTGCAAGCTCTGGTACGACCATTACAGCCCGCTCCTCTACAAAGTTACGCCCTTTATTACCTACGCGGACAAGCCCGCATACGAGGGCCTCCTGATCTTCTGGACCTACATCATCGTACTCCAGGTCATGATACCAGTGTCCCTCTACGTTACGATCGAAATGACCAAACTGCTCCAGGTGTACCACATTCATCAGGACGTCGAAATGTACGACCCAGTTACCAATACACGAACGGAGTGTCGAGCTTTAAACATCACCGAAGAGTTGGGGCAGATCAATTACTTGTTTAGCGATAAGACGGGGACGTTGACGGAGAACAAGATGGTGTTCAGACGGTGCACGGTGGGCGGCGTGGACTATGATCACCCGCCCGGTCCTCCCGCCGAGCCTTCGCCCGACCTACCGCCAATCGTGACGCCCATCACCAAAGTGTCGCCCAACAGGAGGATGCTGCAACACATGCAGGATAACAACGACGCTCAACATACGCAAAAGGTATGGAACAAATCTCATATTCTAGAGTACTTCGGATAGACCTTTAAATTTTATTATTATACTCGCTATAGGTTATTGAGCAATGCATTAATGTATTAGTGTAACTGTTGCAGGTACGCGAGTTCCTCCTGATGCTGGCAGTATGCAATACGGTAGTGGTGAGCCAGCCGCACGTAGACGCCATGCAGCTGAGCGGCTCGCAGTCCGGCGGACACTTCCCCACAGACCGATCCGCTGATCGCCCCGCAAGATCCAACGGCACGCTGCGGTCCAACGACAAGTGAGATAATTCTTTACTGCTCATTTTATATCTATGTAAATATAATGAGTTGAGCTGAGAGCTAGATTAATGGTCAAAGTCATTAGGTAAACGCTTAAATTCGCACCATAAATTAATGTTATTTTTAGCGCTTGACACCATTAATACTCACCTACAATAATTCAGTTTTCATGAATAGCACCGCTCCATATCATATGTTGTAAGTACATGAAGAATTGAATTGTCACCATGTCAGGTATGCGCGGCTGACGGAGTCCAGGTCGACAACGCCCTCGCCACCGCCCTCCACCACATCCCCGCTGCGCATCCGCCTGCCGCGCTTCCCCTTCGGCGGCCGCGACGACACCAGCAGCGAGCCCAGCACCTCTGCAGACTGTCAGGTACATATGGTACACAATTTACTTCTTTTGTGGACTGCTTGGAATAATATCATTATGTTGCTACTAACTATATTTGCTTATAATTTGTCAGTTGGCGCGTTTCGAGGCGGAGAGCCCGGACGAGCTGGCGCTGGCGGAAGCGGCACTTGCGTACGGCTACGAGCTGCGCAGCCGCGCGCCCGACGAGGTTGAAGTGGGCGTGCGCGGCGAGGTGGTGCGCTATAAGGTGCTGCGCGTGCAGCAGTTCGACTCCAACCGCAAGTGCATGTCCGTCGCCATGCGTCTGCCAACCGGACAGGTATGCAATGTTACTGATTTCTGTTCTTGTTCACTACCAGTTCCAAGTCATTCCTATGAAAAGCTTTAATTTCAGTATTGTTGCGATATTGAGTGTAGTGAACGTGTGTTGGCAGGTGATCCTGTACGTGAAGGGCGCGGACTCCGCGGTGCTGGGCGCGCTGACGCCGATGCGCGCGGGGTCTGCGGAGGCGGCGGCGTACGAGCGCACGCGCGCGCTGCTGTCGGAGTACGCGCGCGCCGGCCTGCGCACGCTCGTCATGGCCAAGCGCACCATGCAGCCCGCGCTCTGGGAGGAGTGGCTCGCGGGACACGCGCGCGCCTCCGAAATTGGAGAAGGTAATGTCTTCAAATATATTTTGATAATTAAAATAACTAAGAGGAAATTTTATTGAGACGTGATGTGCGGCGTGCAGGTCGCGAGAAGCGCATCCGCGAGTCCCTGGCGCGGCTGGAGAGCGCGCTGAGCCTGGTGGGGGCGACGGGCGTGGAGGACCGGCTGCAGGAGGCGGTGCCGCGCACCGTGCGCGCGC